AGCCCTAGCTTTCACTCACTACCAAGCTATGATCTACTACCCAACATTTTCCGATTGCCTTAGCATTTCGTAGCGATGCTTTTCAACTTCTCCTTTCATAACTTGCATTGTTCTTTTGGGTTTCGACTTTTACTGTTACGTTCCTGGCATTCTTGGCCTATTGAGTTGCTTGGTCCTAGCTTTCACTCGCTACCAAGCTATGATCTACTACGCAGCTAGCCGTGCATTACCCAGCGTTTTAAGATTGCTTTGCATTTCATGGTGTTTCACAGCATGCTTTTCACCTGCCCCTTTAATAGCTTTCATTTTTCATTTGGGATTCCACTTTTACGTTCCAGGCATTCTTGGTCTTTTGCATGGCTTAGTCCTAGCATGTCCTAGTTTTCACTCACGATTGAGCTATGAGGCTACGTTGTACTACCCAGCTGTGCTGTATCCAGCGTTCTGAAGTTGCCTTCCATTTCCTGGTATTTCTCAAAATATGTTTCACGTACCGCTTTCATAGCTTACATTTTTTGTTTGGGTTTCAGCTTTTACATTGTAATTCCAAGCGTTCTAGATCTTTGGGCTCTATGACATCCTGTAGCCTTCCCAGGAGGAGCACACGTGGCTCTCACTGTCGATAAGAATGTCTTTGTTCTTTAAACTCATGGACGAGATCGAGAAGAGCAAAAAGACGCACCACCACAAGAAGGGGGGTCTTCGTAGTAGTCACTAGTTGCGACAAAATCCTCAATTTGATGCGACGCGGCGCGATATCTCATGCATGCTTTGCCAGGTGGGATCACCACTAGCTACAAAGACCGCTTATAAAATAGAAATAAAATTGATTAATATTAAATGAATCCCCCCTTAGTTACATTTTTCATTTCCCCCCCCTGCAATATTTAAAAAGACATCCGAAGTTTCAAAATGTAAATTAACCACGTAGGAGGTCCCAATATTACATTTACTAACCCCCCCCCACCCCCTCCCAAACAGTTCACCATACATACCTAGGGGCTCCCTAACTTACAATTTTTTTTGGGCTTTGGAGCCCCCGAAAATTGTAACTTACATTTTAGGAGGTCCCCCCCAAAAAACCATGGTTAGTGAGGTAGGGGTGGTATATTATATTTTTTAAATCAATATTTTCCAAATCAAATTTCGTAATTTTCGATTATTATATAAATAGATAAATATAATATACATAATTAATTAAATATGCATCATTATAAACAATAATCAATGCCATTAAATATATAGATCAATCATGATTAATCACAATAATATAACAACTTAATTAAACAAAGTAATTGTTTCGTTGCGGCTAGGAAACGATTGGCCGTCATTGGTATCAAACAGATACCACAAGCCGCTGATGCCGGAACTGCTTTGCAAGGCATCACCAAATCAATGCAAGGGTTCTCCTTGGCCAACTTACCTCGCGAAGAAGCGGGGAGAACTTGAGAACCTCGGGACCTGAGAGCTGCCAGGGGTACGGATGGTTTCATGGATAGTGCTGTGGGAAGTACAGGTGACAGGCACAAATCACAATCTGCTTGCACAGGGTTTGCGGAGAAGGACCTTCCCAACCAAGTTCGCTAGCTAAACTTAATGTGACCTCTCAAAAGCTGATCAGAGCCATGCTACGACGCTTTGTCAAGCTGCCCACGCGCCGGGATTCGGCCTCAGGAAGGCACACCGCACGGCTGACCGCACCACGGACGACCTCTGAAGGTTTGTGACTCAAAACGGCCTTTGGAACGTTTCTTTTTGCTCAAAACTCCTCGAGTTTCTTCATGTTGTTGCAATGATCGAGACTCTCCCAACCACAAAAGTCTCAACGCTTCATACAGAGGCAAAGACACCCCGTGACCAAATGAGTTTAATCTCCTGACGTTCCAACAGGCTACATCTGCGTACTTTTCAATACATGCCCGAATGATCCCGAATGCATTTTCCGTTCTTTTTCTCTTTTCGTACCTTTTTAGCCTCTGCCCACCTGGCCCACTTGCTGCTAAGAGACTCGACATTAACGTAAACAACTCGTGAACGGTTGACTCCGTGACGATGGTGTTCCGCTTCAGAGTACTCATCGATTCCATCACAGACTTCTGCAAGGCCTCCGTGGCGAAGGCGCCGCCCGAAGACGTGGTTCTCTCCCCGTGAGGCGAGGATGGGTTTCATCTGTTGTCCTGATTTCGCTGCCCTTGCAATACATGACATTCTAAAATAATAATCTATCATAATCTATAGATATTGGTGATAAATCACACACTTCTGCACACAAAGTGACCCAAAATTATCATATGTATCCATAGGTCAATATTTGCATGCCCAGATTCTATGCAGACCTTACTACAATCTTGGCCAGGCACTTTTTTCCTGGACCAATATATAAACCGTTGGTCCCTGAATTGATCCCCATTGCCCCCGCGTTCCGCGTTCCGACGGGTCCCAGGTCTGTTTTGCCTCCATGGCGGATCTGAAAGATTCGGCCAACTCGTGTTCCAAGTGCATAATCTCATCACCAGGACCTGAAGAAATTATGCCATTCAAACATCCGGATGCCTTAATATGCCTTAGGCTTTCTTGCCATCAACAAAACCAGCATCCTTAAGGGGTTTCACCATGCACATAGCCAACGCCAAAACAACGTGGTGGATCTGATCCGGGCGCAACTGGGCATTTCTGATCCATGAAAAGCTCGTCACCAAGGCCACTGGACCCCACAAAATCACACTTCGCTCCAATTTCATGATCTTCATCGCAAAGGCGCGATGTCGCGGCTTCTTGATCGCATCACTAAGCTCTCAGCCTCTTAAGGTCGTGAAGGTCGGTCTACTGGACGCCTGTGGCTGCTCCACAGCCTCGGCCGAAGGTCAAGATCACTTCGACTAGGCCTACTAGGGGGATAGATCGCCCTTGAGCTTGATTCAAAGTCGTTGGGTAAAAGGAAGTCAGCGTCTTTCACCGAAAAGAAGACAGCACTGTCATGCCAAGTCGCCTCGTCTTCTTCTGCAGCACCCTGGGCCTCGCACAAATTCACCAACAGCCATGAAACAAACTTGGCCAGCTTCGGCCATCTCCCCAAAGCGGTGCTCTGACGTGCAACTGTAACACAGCTGTTTAACCAATCTGACCCCAAAGCTTGCACCCAGAAAAAAGCGAAGCATCAACCAACATCAACCAACGCACCTCAACATTGATACAATGGGCAACACTGAGGCCTTCCGCTCCAAGGGTGGCTTGCTTTGGTCCTTTCTAGCTCAGAGTGTCCAGGATTGTCACGGGGCAGAATGGGCAGGTCAAAGGGTCGCCCCGTGGAAAACTCACATGGACCCTGAAAACCACTGGTTTGTAGAGGAAAAGAGTCTGACGACCCGGGTCCTATTCAATCCGAATCGTTCGTTTTCGGGAGTGTACCAACTGCCACGCTCCCTTCGATTGGAGGGTGCCACGGTGCCTTCGTCGCCCGGAACTGCCGGAATTGGTTTTGCAAGCTGTGTGAGCCTGGAGAGGAATGTCCGGTCGATGTTTCTGGCGCATGAAAAATAGGACGCTATTGGCTCCTGGCCTTACTACTAGTAACAAGAGGCTACGAACGGGGCTAAGGGCATCGCTACTACAAGTAGCAAGGACGCTACTAGTGGCCGACGAGAGGGGAGGCACCGGAGGTGCCGAGGAGGTTTGGCCATAGCAATGGACTGTGGAGATCGCGTGTGTGGGGGGGGGAGGCTTCGTTTGGAAGCGCCTGAACGTGCTCTGAGCAGCGTCCTTGCTCCTAGTAGTAATGCCAGGAGCCCCTAGTAGCGTCCTTGCTCCTAGTCGCGATGCCCTTTGCTCCTAGAATCAAAGGTGGAGCCTTTAAACTTTTGCACATATATACAGATACAGAATACTTCTTGACTGTAGTCCATTCGCAAGTGGCACCACTGGTGACTTTCTGAGAAACACCTATCGCGCCTGTTGGAGTCATCTTGCTGTGACTGTGCCGCTTCGCTGCGACTCGCTGGACTGGAGTCATGTCTTCGGAAGACTCGGCATGGCTATCCATCCTGGACAGGGCCGGGTGAGCCTTGATGAACAGCGGTCGATTCAACAGAGTCTGTCTGAGCTCGGAGTCTGTCCGATGGTGTGGGAGGGCGTTCCGCGTAGATGGGCCCTTGCCACACGTAGATCGGGAATGACCGTGTTGTCGATTCCGCAGTCATCTCAGTTTCACCGGTCGCGCGGCCGCCGTCTTCGACGGCTCAGTCCTGCCACAATACAGAATCTCCTCCATCATCCTCAGCACATGTCTGGGTCTGAGATGGTCTGAGCATATTTTCGATAGAGTAACAAGAAGCTAGTAGTAACAGGTGCCTCGCTAGTAGTAACAAGTGCCTTACTAGTAGTAACAAAGAAGCTATTAGAATTAAATGGTCCGGTCCATCTGGGGAGTTGGACAGCTAGGGACAGCTCACTGTGAGCTCCTCCCCCGGCAGCGTACTCGACGTCCACAACTGTGAAGAAACCGCTCGACCCTTCAGCACCTTTACGATCAGGGAGGGGTATAGTGCATTAACCGCTCGTTCCTCTGGCGTGAGCACAAGTACTCCAAATGTCTGTTGACCGTGCACCGTGACCGCACCAAATTGACGAACGAACTGGTGCATCAACCGCTCTTTGTCTGTGCTCCGGTTCGGTTCCACATCACATGGCATGGCCGAAGGATGGCATGTCCCCGAAAGGATGACGATGTTCGGTCCAATCCATTTTGCAAATACCGAACCACGGGGGTGAAATCCACCGAACCACGGTGGGGCAGTCTTTTCGGGTCCATCGTTCGCCCCCTAGAGGCGAAGGACAAACAAGAATCAGTCTGCCTTGCAGCCGACGTGGGAGAATACATACGATACAGTATGAGAACAGAATATAATATGTTCTCTATGTCACTATGTCGAAGTGACTCTCTGGCTGGTTAGAACTCCGTTCAGAACTATGCTTCAGTCCAAGCATCTCATCCAGTCTTCGACCCAGTAACTCCTGAGGGGAGCCAACAAAACACCGAAAAGGCCAACAAAGACCACGAGACCACGAGACACGCGTCACCGCGTCGCAGAAGAAGCAGCAGAGTTGGACTCTCCACTGCCCCGTTTTGGGCAGCGCCGTTTCGGACGGGGTTCCAACTCTGAAGACTTCGGGTTCAACCGGACAAGTTCAACTCACTGGTACGAAGCTGGGATGATGTTCCCAAGATGCCAAAAGATCCAAAAGGGTTTCGTGACTAATCTTTTTCACTTTCCTCATCCCCAAAACCTCTTTCCTATCAAACACGGACATTCTCTTGGCTAGGCCCAGGCCTTTTGCCTCAGTGACTTCGTTCATTTTTCTACTTGCCAAGTCTTAGCCACATGGGGGATAGCCAAGGCATGTCGCCACAGTACACTCTTCCACTACAAATGCCAAGCCCCGAGCTCACGGGCCCTCATGTCGTCCCGCCAGCTCCCGCGTGGCACCTGCCCTGCCCGGTGGTTAGTCTTCACCTCCTCCCCGTTGCCCGACAGCTGCGACCAAGCTTCAAATCGAATATCTACTGATTTCACAAACCTCGGAATGCGGTGGCGGGCTTCCATGTTCACCTTCTTTTGTGACATCTCCGAAAAAGAGGGGTCTATATTCATTGTAGGGTTCTCTGACCGTCTGTTTCCTGGGCCAAAACGAAGGATTGAACGGCAGTTCTTGGTGTTCGCCTCCAAACCACCAAACCGGATGTCACTGTAAAACCTTCTCTCGACCACGTCACCAACGGGAACACCTCCAGGAACACCTTGGTGGCGTCTTCGTTTTTCTTCCACCAAGTCATTCATCACCGCCCCAGAACACTGCTCCCACCACCTCGAAACATACGCACACCCAACAACAAAACATACACCTGCAAACCTTCTAAGGCAAGGCACTCATCATGCTTATTCAGCATCCGCATCAAATTGTACTTGACAAACCGAGGTGCAGTCCTCACTCCGACGTTTCGACGTCGGTCTAAGTCGGACACCCTGGTCACCACCAGTGGGTTGACCTCCTGGGGGGAAGCTCAACCGATCATTTTCGGATGAAACAACAGGTGAAAAGACAGGGTTCAACCAGGTCCCCCATGCGAAACATCAGATCTTTTCTAGGATCTTGCATGATCTTGCTGATGGCTTATGCCCGATCCACTTGATGAATTCGGCAAACGATCACAAGTGAACGTGTGATAATGATTTGATGACTTTGCGTGAGAAGGTTTGACTTCACATTCGCGTGCTTGATGATTGGATTGTCCCTGTGAACCCGCTTCACGATTGCTTGTCCGCGGTAACGGGCAACCGATCATCATTGGATGCCATCTTCCTGCAAGTGAGAATCTTGGAGTCTCGCACCCATCTGCTCAGAGGTCCAATGAACTGTCTTGCTTCCACATAACCACAGCCTGGAGTTCTGCGGCGTTCTGGAGGTCCTTTATGGACTTTCAGAGGTCCTTCTGGAGTTGAAAGGTTGGTCTGCAAATTCGATCCGACAAAAACCAAACCTTTGTCGAACTGTTGTCGATCCGACTTACCAATAGGGACGAAATCTCGATTTGCATCTTTGCAGACCAACGACGAAATGCGGACAATAAGACAGACCTCTGGTCTAACAATGAGACAGTGCTTTGGGCTGTTTTGGGAGTAAGACTATTCTTTCTGAGGCAAGGCCATCTTGTCCCATGTCAGCAATTGCTGACACCCAAAGCAGGTTGAATTTAAGATCCTATACGGCCAAAACTGCAGCTTCCCAACTCTAAAAAACAGAACACACATTGTAGATAAATCACTTTTCCAATCTTTTCCAGTTTTTCCCACCTACAAAGCAATCCCATCTAACGACACTGATGGGAAACTGAAGCGTCATATTTCTCCATGTCTCCGTGTGAACCCATGCTCTTTCCCATCCGACAACATGTTCATCGTGGACAACGATGTCAAACTCCTCCGTCCAACCAGTGGCCTTCAGTGTCGATCATCTCGAAGAGCTGTTGGAGATCCACCTGAGAGCCATGGAGGCGATTCCTATTAGGTTGGAGGCCATCGCTAGTAGGTTGGAGGCCTTGGAGGCCATTCCTTCTAGGTGGAGGCCATTGCTATTCATGTCTTCTCTTTCTTATGTCTTTCTTTCCCTGGTTTTTTTTGGTTGGCCACGGGTCGTGGGGTCGGTCGAAACGGGGGAGAAGGATGGAGAGTCGGTACACCGCGATTCGTACAGCTTGGGCTGCTAGCTTGAAGTCCAACCCTGCCAGTGCACATTTGATTTTTTTGTAATGTTCTACCGCAATGTTATTCTCAGTTGCTGATCTGTAGCTTCGTAATCTCAGATCATCAATTGATCCATACTGTTGAACACTCTTGGCTCCAGAGACTTGGGCATGGCATGGCTTACAAATTAGGACATCAACACCCAAACCATCCCAAACCCAAACTTCATCAAACTTCTGAATGGAGGACAAGAACATACTAGAAACAAGGACACATTGACTCATCATTATCAGGGTCCCTGGGCCTATCCCTTCTGCGAGGCATCCAGTGTCATGCTTTCTGATCTCAATGATTTATTTGATCATCCCAAATACATTGAGATAAAAAAAAACCAAATACACCCCAAACGTATGTAAAAAGAAACTACATCCAAATACCAACATCCACGCTGTAACACGCCTCGTCGATGTCCATCACTTGTAGTCTGCTTTGAAACTCAGGATCCTAAGCATCCCAGTTTTCCAGCGATCAGTTTTGAACAGCCATGAGTTCAAACCAATGAGAGCACAAAGGTGAGTTGTATCGCCTCTGATTCACGAACCAAACGTATATTGACCACCACAAAAAAAAGGAATGGACTCCTCATGGATGGACCACCTACTTACTGTACCAAAGCCGTCCATGACTCTCTTCTATGTTCATGTCAGATCCTGGTGTTAAACAAGTTAGAAAACATGTTTCACTGCAACAACCATGGCTTTTCGATTTTTTTTCCAGATCTACCAGTTCCACGTCCAAGGATCTCTCCGAGCTCCTTCCACCAGTTCGTCGATGGTCACCGTTCCACCTGCGGCCGTTCCCACGGCGGTCACGGCGACCGACTCGGGAGACGAGGAGAAGGACCTGACACAGCTACATCCAGACCTGCACTCAAACGTTTCAAATGTTTCTAAACCAGCAAACGTGTCAAAGCCTGATATATTTTAGACACAAACCGAACCAACCGACTAACCGACCTTTGACCAACTCAGCGAATCAAGCTGCATGCCAAAGGGCTGTGATCGTGATCTATTCGATCGAAGATTTTCCTCAGCTCGACGAAGCAATCCTTTGGAGTAGCAACCATAGCCTTTCCCTGTGAACAACTTGGGGTCAAACGGAGTTGTTTGCCACCCAAAGACCCCCAAACAGTGAAGTACATCAATTTAGTGATCTCATGAGAAGTGAAGCATCTGGTTCGTGGTGTGTCACTTCGTCCATCACTTTCCAGGACCAAAAGCGAACCTCGCGAAAACACCAAGCACTTTTTGGAAAGCACGAGTTTCACCTGGGTGATGCCGAACCTGTCAAGACCATGACAGCCTTGCTTTTAGGCCACACCTTGTTGGAGACGAAGCCATGTTCTCCCAAAACCAACCTGCTTGCACCTGTGTGAAATGCACCTTTTATTTTTTGACCTTTGCGATTGCCGACGGCGTAGCCTGTGACACGCGGTGCATCGAATTGGCATCTAATTAAAATCAGTCCGCAAACCTGGCCGCCTCTGGACAATAGTCAGGCCCCATTTCAGCCTCCAAATTGTAGGCTGCTACCACCTTCTGAGTGGATGTTTCAAACCACTCAGGCAGCACTGCAGCGGAGGTCGACTCAGGTTGCGCCAAATCGAAAAGCCGTGCAAGAGCACGGCAGAAGTCAGGGGGGTATTGCTTTAGGACAGACGTTTTCCATCCACCTCAACCATCACGTCCAATTCTACCGGTCCTAGGGAGCTCAGTCGTTCGCATGGACACAAAGTGCTCGTAGTCGTGACCAGTGCCATTAACTATCAAAAGATCTGTAGGCTTTATGGAGAGACCTCCATATCGACCTTGCTCAACTCTCAATAGATGGCAGTTGGAAAACCTGAGCAGAAATTTGACGAGAGGCATCTTCCAGATGGATGGGTACTCGGGCTCAGGTGGCATGGCCGGATGTTCGACCACTCCCGTACACCCTGAGACCAATGCTGTCCATAGTAGCCGGAAAGTCACGGCTAATAGCCTGTTGCCCAAAGAGACCTGCTCTGCTTCTCGCTTCGTCAGAAAGGCCTCTCCTTGCAACCTCTGAACAGATCGGACTGGTCTTGGTCCGTTTTCAGCCTGAACATTGCGCGCACGGCTCCATGTTTCGCACGGTGGTCCTGCCATGAAACCTAGTAACTGTTTGCCTCGTAATGCACGAATGAACAAGTCCAGAGTTTCTTGACGCAACAGGTTGCCGAATTCAACGTCAAATATGACGTCGATTGAAAGCGCCTTGAGACCTAGAGCTTCCAGGTGTTCTTGTAGATCTCCTGGCCGGCGGTCTCCTGAAAACAAGTGCGCAATAGTTCTTGGCTTATATAGGACTTCACGAGGTGGGTGGCAGACAATATCTTGAAACTTCCATGCTTCCCGCTCGAAAAAATCCAATGCACTTTCAAGAACTGGCTGACTGATATCTGTTCCATGGAGAAACCAATCAGCCGATGCACATTGCTGAAAAAGATAGAAAACTCGGAGCATCACTACGGTGCAATCTTCGTGTTGTGCGGTCCACCTCAAGTTCCATTCATGGAAGCACTCAAGGATCTCCTCATGAAACAAGCACGTCTCCAAGGTAGCAACGCGTAGGCGCTCAAGACAAGTTTCAACTGTAGTGAATCCCCCTGCGACAGCCTCGTCCCAGCTGCAAAAGAGTTGAGTTTTATCTGCTTCAGCAGGCAAGACAACGACCTCTGCGGGCGGACATTTTGGCCCCTCTGCCAACTTTACTGTTTACTCCTGGCTGTTGCTCAACAACATCACCTCGATCGGTATAGAAAGCCAGGCATTTCTTGCTACGTTTGACATGGCTGACCAAGTCTGTGTAGGAGTCGTACTCCTTGAGGCATGCTTCGCAACCAGTCCCCTGGACATAAAGTCTTACTTTGTTGACACGTGCATGACATTTAAAGGCATGAGCCGCAAGGAATGCTCTTCTGGAGTAAACCTTTCTGCGCTTCAAACAATAGTGCATACACTCATGACATTGATTTCTCGGCTTTTGTGCATAGCCATCTTTGATCACCTCCACCATGAGAACTGCATGCCATGTCTTCCAGTGAAAAGTGATCGCCCTTGCTGAAGCACACCTAGCCATCATCTTTTTTAGCAGTCTCTTCCAGCGCACCGGACTAGCTTTAATCCATTCCAGCAGCCGGTCCCAGTCTTGGGGATTGCAATCAAAATCGGGAAAATCGTCACAGTATACTCGGGCCCAATCCAGATCTTCAAAAACTTGTCGTCTCCACTGTTCGTCTTCCTGTAACAGTGCCCAGAGCTGCGGTTCACCAATTCTTGTCAGCTGTTCAAGATACCGCAAACGAGCCTGACATAGGATCTCCTCATGCGATGGGAGGCCATATTCTTCAATCACTTTGGTCCGTCCCCAATCCAGAGCAATGTGTCCAAAATGCATGGCAGCGATTCTCTTGTACAGCTTGGTGAAAGATGATTCAATCTGGGCAGCCTGTCTCATATTCCTGTGTCTCCAAATGGCAGCGTTGTAAACAATCGTGCTGAGCACCAGGGATTCAAACAGCCTGTTCTTCTGTATCAAAGGCAGTTTCCGATTCGTGAAAATCTGGTTTTTGTACTTGGTGAGAAGTGAATGAGCTGCAGCAAATTTCGTCTGCACATCTCTAGCCAAACCCGCACCGACTTGTAGCCAAGTCCCAAGATGCTTATAGGTGCCCACACTCTGCAGCTTGTAGTCTTCAAATCTGGATGGGATTATCAACTTATGTTCTGCGGAATGTAGGGTTCTTCGCATAGCCAAGGAACCTTGTCCACGTATATCGAGCAGCACCTCCGTTTTTCCAGCTCGAAAGTTCGGTGTGAGTCCTGCGGATATTAGCCCATCAAAAAGTTCTCCTGAGACAGCTTTCAACTGTTGGATAAGCAGTTCAGGGTCAGGGGCTCTGATGGCAAGCGCCAAATCATCCGCCCAAAGTGGCATCAGTACATCCAACATCGTGATCGGTCCTTGTAAGGGAAAAGGTGTGCATTTCCCATTCCATGGGATGGCAATGCTTGGGATGATCTTGGTGAAAGCATACGAAAAGCATATGTCAGCCATAGAGTCCCCTGGCCTGCTCCCTCTCCTTGTATTGACAATTTGCTTATCTCCCTTCAACTTAAACCATGTACTTTCATAGAACTCTTGGAACATTTCTTTCACAAATGGTGAAAGCTCAGCACCTGATACAGCATCTGGTGTCTCAAAGAGAAGTTCAAAGTCTTGGGTCGCTTCATCAGGTAATTTGAGTTGTTGGAAAAGTTGACGCGGAGTCCGTTGATCAGCTCTACCCTGTACAATGTGTTGCCGCACAAGGCAGTAAAATGCATTGGAGACGTCCACAAACAGTATCGCAACAGAATCATGATCCCGAAGAGCATTGCGATGGAAAATCTGCAGCGCATGTGTAGCCTGGGTGATGTTCTGTTCCTTGAGTCCCCCAATTTGAAAAGGTAAACGTTGCTTCAGGAAAGCAGCAGCGATCTTCTCCCGGAACATACCGTGAACTGCCTTCCCAACCACGCTGCTAACGAAGAGGGAACGATAGTTCGTAGGGTCAGTCGGATCACCCTTCTTGTATGCTGGAACCAAAAATCCCCCTTTGTGGAGGAGAGGTTCTTTCTGAAAAATGATCTCTTTGCAGATCCCACTGAAGAAAATCTTCGCCATAGCAGGTGCCTTGGCAAGTAGTTCCCCGGGCAGATTGTCCACGAAATAGGAACGCCCCTGCGAGTTTCTTCTAAACCTCCTCTCAATCTCAAGCAAGGATGGTATCTCATCCCAAGCGGGCATCGTCTTTGTCCTCAGCAAGCCTTGGTCAACCTGATCCATTAATTGGCTGAGACTCATCTCCTGTCCATCCTCTTGGTTGGTAAAATAAGTCCTCCAGCAGGTTGTCAACGATCTGCCCATTTGACTGTCGCAACATCGGGAGGGGTTGTATGGCTGAAGGCTTCTTCCTTTTTGAAACTCCCACGGAGCGGAGAGCATCAAAGAAATCTCTTTGCTTCATACCTCCCGCAAGTCCAGCGATTTCCTCCAGCTTTTTCGTCCGATCTTGCCGAAGAGATCCTGTGAGTTGCTTGTTGAGGTTTGCCATCCGTCTTCTATACTCCATGGCTTGCCGAAGTAAGTTGATGGCTTGATTCAAAACCTCTTTTTGATTCCAGCAGGCATCCTCAGCCCAGGTCCCAAATGCAGCCTTGAGGGTGAGTATATTGAGCTTCGTTTTGATATGGGACAGTTGCCATTTTGACTGCATCCTTTGTTTTCGAATATCCCAAGAGTCATCAGAAATGTAGCTTTTCTTTGGTCGTTGTTTTGCTTGAAGAAAGAATTTGATCAAGCGCTGTTCGATCTGCCAAGACAGGCTAGTGAAATGCCTATCAATGTCTTCCGTCCAATCAGGAATTTCCAGATTTGCCAGGACTTTCTCGACTGTTTTGGCATCCGCTCGCAACAGAGCCTGTCGATCAAAACTTGCACTGCTCTTACGATGGACATCTTTCAGTAGTAGAATCTGGAGCTCCATAGCAAGTGGTGTATGATCAAGTCCTCTACCACCTGCATCAAGGCTAGGCATCAAGTACGTTCGGACATATCCACTACACCAGGCCAATGGTATAGCGAAATAGTCACAACGTGCACCCTGTCCATTTGCTTGTCCATGCCACGTATGATGCTCTCCCTCATGGTGATGTTCGAACGTGCTAGGAGCACATAGTCGAAAACGCTGGAGGAAATTTCCAAAGTGGATTCCTCCTAGCGTTGTTGTCTGTTCAAGGCCAAAATCACCAACACAAGCATCCACGGCAGTAGCAAAGTGCGCATTAGCATCCACTCCGCAGATGATATTTGCATATTTCTTGCTGTAGTTGTCCACGACCTCGGTCAGATGATTCCAATACTCGCCAATCACAGTTTCACCTCTTCCTGTATGTGGCGCATGTCCATTGATGAGCAGAAGTTCGACTCCTTTGCATTTAGCTTTCACCACCAGGAGCTCGGATGA